ATGAGTTCAAGGTCTGCCTGGGCTAGATGGATGAACTTACCTGAAAACAAAACAATAACAACAACAACAGCAAAATGGACTATGGAGATATGGAGGCCTGGAAGGGTCTTTGTGGTCAGTCAGCCATAGGGCCTGAGTCATGAACAAGGCCCCTGGTGAGCCAAGATGGGAGGCAGGAAGCCGACAGGTAGACAGGCAGATGGACACAGAAGAGAGAGCAACCCCTGCTACAACCACAACTGCAACCAGCTAATCGCACCATGCCAGATCACGTCCCAGGCAATTTTCTGCGTAGCCTTTAGAGACTTCCCCAGCCAGAGAAGCCAGCCAATTATGCCTGATCATTCTCTGCATCCCTGTCCTCACAAAAGACAAGTCCAGACTGGCCCGATGTAGACAAATGAGCAGTTCTATTATCTCTGAAAGGCAATGTAATTCCCTTCAAATTTAAAAGTCTCCATAGTTTCCTAACAGGCCTCAGTAGGGCACATGCAGAAATTAATAAGTTCACATTGTGCCCAGCTTGCTTTTATTACCATTTTATGCCAGGATTTTAGACAAGATTTCTGTTATTACTCAAGGATTTTTCTGTTTCTGATTCTTTATAAAGGTCAATTCTACAGAGCTCACACTTTGAGCTGAAAATTGAGTCAAATCTAATGGACTTGACTGTAGTCTACAGGAGCTTTTCCTGGTCAGGTGGGACATGGATCCAAAGGCAGCGTCACAGGGACAGGGAACTCAGGAGACAGAGAAGCCCTGGGCCCATCCCTGCCAGGATCCAGACCTGCTCTGCATGTCAGGCCAGTTGCTTACCCCGGGTTCACTGGGGTGTCTTATCTAGGAAATTATCAGCAAGGCAGGTCAGGAGAGGGAAACTCTAATTTATTAAACTTCCATGCATTTGAATCATTGCAATATACCTCACAGACGTTGCTTAAATTTTATCAAAACAATGTTGAAAAGCTTATATTGTCTTCTACATGATAATAGGGATGTTACTGCAATCAGCTATTTTGCCATACTGACACTAAATCGTATCAGCAGAATTATGCACATGTGGGACATGGAGAATGGACTCACCGTATGAACAAGATTACAGACCCACACACCTTTGCGGGAGAGCAGTGCAGCTTGATTCAGAAAATTTTAAAATGTTTGCCCAATCAAAGTTAGAATGATGAGGACACGGAACACATCAGTGGGACTGATTAATGGATTGGTGTCAAGGATCTATGTACAAGTCCCAAAACTCACGCAGCAATATTATTCATTGAGATGTGATTATTGACCAAAACTGCTACAACAATGATCACTGACACTAAAACACCAAACTCAATTTAATGAACACTACATATACCACTTGGACTCTGCTATAATCGATATGGAAATATTATGTATCTTCACTGATTTCTGTTCATGTGCATATTTAGATTTATAAATATGAAGTATGAACTTTTAGGCAATGGGAATTCAGTTAAGTAAAAGCTGCGTTTTTCATGAACAAACATTATCAAATGAGCCCACAGGCTATTTTCTTCCCCACTTAACGATATTTTATCAAATTATGCTTTGATCAAATCTTCATTTTTAGAACATTACTTATTTTGCTTATTAAAATGAAATTTTAAATATCAATAAAATAAAATGTTTGTCCAATTAATTCCAATTCTCACAGTCCATCCAAACAACAGAAACTAAAATGTGGGACATTGGTTCAAATTAAAAAAATTGAAAATGGACTAATTGTCCAACAGTCAGAGAATGATAAGCTATAGAATACTCATTAAATATGTAAACACAGTCATGTAATCAGATGAGGACATTAAATAAAATAGCATATTTTCATTATTTGGTGGCAAAATATTAATATCAATATTTCATAAGTATTTAAAAATCATTATACATTAAAATGGTTTATTGTTATTTAATGAAATGATAATTAAATCCATAAAACATGTTTATAAAATTTAGTATTAAATATAGGATTTGATCACAATCTTTTTATTTATTTGTTTTTTTTGGCAGAACTGGGGATTGAACTCAGGCTCTTGCGCTTGCCTGGCAAGTACTTACTCTACTGAGCTATCTCTCTGGCCTCTACAATCTTTTAAAAAGAGTAGATAAAGGACTAAAAGCAAATACACTGAAATGTTCAGCAATGCCCTCTCTGGTGGTAGGAAAACACAGGCTTCAAGTTTTTTCCATATTTTCTGCAATGAATGTCTTATTATTATCATAATCAGGTTGTATATATCATAAAAGATGTGATATCTTCTTGTATTATGCATTTATATACACAATACAATTGGGAGTTTTATTACAGGAGAATCATTTGGGATTGCATATGATTCTAAATGATATTTATCAAAGCCTATGTGTAAAAAACATTTACTTAAAAAAACTTTAAAGACTCAGGTGGGGGAGATAAGAGAAACAAGACCAAGGAAAAGCAATATAGTGGGAAGTATCTTCCACGGAGCTTATAGCTCCCCTCTTGAGCTAAATAAAGACCCCATGAAGAGGGCTGGGGAAAATGACCCATAATGCATGAACAGTTGATAAGGGGACTAAAAGCTTCAGTTGACTTCAAGGAGTGATGGAGCTGGCAGATATGAATTTTTCAATTTTATGAGAATGATAGGGATCTGAAATAAATCTTCAGTATTTTCTTTTTAAGATAAATGTTTTAAAATAAATGCCTGCAGCATGGATGGATAGCTAGTGCCTGGTTCCTGTCTTAGAGCCGATCATAAATAGCACTGAGAAAAATAGCTTTGACTGTTCTAAAAGCACCTTTATTTTTTACTCTTAGGAGATGGGAAGATTATATTTTGATGCATTAAGCTCTATGTTTTTAAGGCAGCTGCAAAGACCAGGTGGAATATAGAAATTGTCTTTAGTTGGTAATAACTACTCAGAGCTCTGCTGTAAGCACACCATAGTTTGAAGATGTGCCCGCCTGACCATGGACACGTCCACTGGTCAGAATACAAGCCCAAGTTCAAAGGCAATGGGTAGATTTAGGATTTAAGAGATCATCTAGTAAATCTTTAGGTGAAACTTTTAATTGCTCTTCAGCACTAAAAACAAGACTGCTAAGTAATGTTTTAGATATTCAAACTTTCCAATGTCACACTTGCTTGAACTGTTGTTTTGTTTCCCTATTCTGATTTCCGCATTGGAGCACTTGTAATTTGACTTTAGACTTTAGCTCCCCTGCTCACTATTGGTTGAGAACAGGGCTACCTGAAGGGTAGACATAATGAATAGTCAGAGGCATACCTCATCTTTGAAGTTATTAGCTTCCCTGCACAGAACTGACTTAATGATATCCCTTTACTTCTCTGAAATCTGTCATTAGTTTACTATTTTATGCTTGAAAGAGAGTTCACAGATTCAGGCTGAAGTGGTACATGAGGCCCCTACTTACTGTAAAGGCCTCTGCACACAGGCCATGATGGAGACTTGAGGGAAGCCAGAGTGCATGCTTGGTTTAAGAGGGAAGCAATGGCTTAGCTCTGTATTTCATCTGATTATTCAAAGTGAACCAGAATTCTGAATTTTCACGCAAACATCTCTCAGTTCCTAAATCCCATATCTATGTTTTAAAATACACAGTACATAGCAAACTAAATATCACCATGACCCCCAATTTTTGCTTAAATATCTAGTTTTCAGAAGTTGCTCAGAATCGTTGATTAATCCCAACACCTAGCAGTTATGTCCAAGAAAGAATGAGTTGGAGTATTCATAGGCTGGCGGAGAAGGTTTGAGGAAGACAGCTCATTTTCTTGTGGCAAAGATGGCACGTGACTTTTTCTTCCAAGTGGTATTGGGTTGTACAGAACCGTTGAGGCTATCCAGAAGATGCATGGAAATGCCCTAACGCTAAACACCATGGAAGTCACAGTTAGGTGCCCTTGGTGGTTAACTTTGTACATAAAACAAAGATAAAGCCCTCTTCTGAGAGTTGAGAGTATCCCCCACGCTCTGCAAGGATGCTTATGGATTTGTCTTCACATAACAGTGAATTTAACCCATCGTGTCACTCCTTACTTCATAACGCTCCATAATAAAAAAGGGGCCTCCACAGAGCTTATCTCTTAAAAGTGCAAAAGGACCAATTTTTTTTTCTGCCCAAAAAGCTCATAATGTAACAGACAAACTGTCAGAAAAAATAGACTTCATTGTGGTGAAAACCTCGGCTGGGCACCCATCTGTCATAAAGTAATCTTCTAGAAGTCTTGAAAACCTTCATTAAATTTCCTGTCTTTCTCCTGACAGTTATAAAGCATTAACAATATTACTCAAGATGCAGGCATCTTCAAGAATTCTCTGTCCAATCCCTCCTACACCTGCTATCACCCTTGTCTTTGCCAAATCTATGGAAACACAGGCCATCACAGTACCCTGTACTCACTCCTTCTGGGGTATGGCCCTTGGAGGAGGAAAGCAGTGGTTGTCCTGATAGCAGTGAGAAAACTCTTTAGCCACAGATTCAGAGGGCAAAGCTGTTCTGCCCTCTGCTTTCCTCTACAAAAACCCCAGCCACATGTAAGACCAAGGGCATGACCCTTACTTTTAGCAAATATTTCCTGATCATTCCCTGCCAATCTACCTAGTTAGAAGTACCCACCTATACATGATATAGAGGTACTGGGGACAGTGAATCACACATTTTATCTGTGGATCTGTAGATCACCTATCTAGAGGGGAAATGCCCCCAGTGACTTTACTAGTTCAAGTTCCCAACTCCAAGGATCACTTCAGCAGTTTACCACCACTCAGCAAACAGAAAAAAGAGATCCTGTACTGGAGGTATTCTGATGCCACAGGCAGAGACAGAATCCACACCCAAAATAAAATTTTTTAAAAAGCACACAGAATGAAATCGATAGGCTGAACTAGAACATGCTCAAGTGGTGACACTCGCTATAACAGCCCAGCCTGGGCTTGTTGAGTCTACAAAGCTCAACCATAGGAAGCCTTCATCTCACCTGCAAAAGGAACCGGTGCATCTTTATCCAGGGCTACCAGTGGTGGGTCCAAAATGACTGTGTCATTATTCTCAGTTATGACTCCATGATACGAAGTCTCAATCCATGGCTTGTGTTTGTTGACTAGAAACAATGGAAACAAAGAACAACGTGTAAATAACTAACCTCTAGTACTATTATTACTTTTGAACATATACCCAGTCACAGGCTCTCTCATCCAACAATTCTAGAACAGGTTAACCCATTCATTATTTTTATATTTTTTGAGACAACATCTTTCTATGTAGTTCAGGCTGGCCTGGACTCACTGTGTAATCCAGGGTGGTCTAGAACTCTGAGTAATCCTCCTGCCTCAGCCTCCCAAGTGCTGGGACTATAGGCATGCACCACCACATCAGCTCTGTTAACACATTTAGTACCCAGAGAAGCTTCAGAGACTTACAGAGAGAGATCAGTTCACTCCAGGCACATACAAGGTAAGGGGTAGTACCAAAATGCAAGCATGATTTTTTTCTTTTTCGCTATCAGAAATCATACTCAGGACTTTCAGCCTGCCAGGTAGGCACTGCATCACTGAACTGTATCTCCAGCCCACAAACATGATTTTTGTCTTTCATACATTTTTTTAAAAAATAATTTATTTACTTATTTTTGATACAGGGTCTCGCTACCCAGCTTGAACTTCATAGTGACCCTCCTGTCTCAACCTCCCCAGCACTAGGATTACAGGTGTGAACCACCATCCATGGTCTCAGGGGCCAGCATGGCACATCCAGGATTCCAGGGCCAGCACATCACGTGGTACCGGGGATCGAACGCAGGTCCTTGCTTGCCAGGCAGGCGCTTAGACTGCTGAGCTATCTCCCCAGACCTCATAGCATCTTTCACCTCATCAAAATTCTATTATTTATATTTCTGGACACGCAGTATAGATATTGTTAAACTGATTATAAATTTATAATTTTGCAGCATACTATCTATTAGTAGATATTTTACAATAAAAGTCCATTACCAATCCAAAAAACTAGATGATTATGACTATATATTCTGGGATTTCTGACCTCAACCTAATTGGATCCACCTTTAGGTGATATTACTGCATTCTATATACATGCATGAACAATACATAGATACATGTATAGATACTAATATAAATACAAGTTTGCAACAAACATTCAAATATTTTCTGGCCGCTTAAGGACTAAGTGATCTAGATTACCTAGCAACTTTGCTCTTTGATAAGTTGGCTAGCTGAATAATGCATTATTTAATATTAATTAATACACTTAAAACATATATGCAATGTATGTTTCAGGTTGAATTATGCCTACCCCTAAAAATATATATGTTGGAATCCTAATCTTTAGGACTTCAGAATTTGACTGTGCTCAGAGATAGTCTTCTCTATCAGGTTAAAATGATGCCCGTGATAGGCCCTCATGGAGCATGAGTGATGTTCTTAAAAAACGGGAAATCTGGACAGACAGACACCCAGGTGGAGCACTATGAGGAAATTGGAGTGATGCTGCCATGAGCTGAGATCTACCAGGAGCTCAGATGGGCACTCAGAACAGATCCTCCCCTAGCACATTCAGGGGAAGCGTAGCCCTACATGACACATTGACTTTAGACTTTAGCCCACTAGAAGTGCAAAACCACATATTGCTGTGTTTCTAAGACACTCAATTTGGGTGCTTTGAATGGCCACCCTAGTGGCTGGATGTACTATGCCTATAGTTAACAGGTACTTGTCATGGGTAGAGAACTGAACTAAGACTTGTGTCAGGATATGGTGTCATTTTCCTTCATGGCATCTTATCTTTTCACACCCATCCTTTTCCATTTCATCTCCTGGGTATGTTTCATCTGATTTTGTTCTAGCCCACATGAGTTCTCTCTGACTTACTGCAGTGGCCTTTTAACTTGTCCCCTGGCTGCAAGTCCTTGCTCCTTCCAGTTCATACTTCACACCTATATCAAGCATAATCTTTCTAAAATATTAATCTGTTTACTCAACTGTGAGTTTTGTGGTCTTTCTCTAATCTCCCACACCCTCACAGAATCCTAGATGCAAAGCAGATGTTTTACAAATATAATAATATGTGGGAAGGAGCCCTAACGTAATCCAAATTGGCCCAGTGCCAACCGCCACCCTGTGCCTCCCAGTTTCAAGGGTGTAGTTCCACCTGTAATCTCCCCCCAGCAACCTGTTGGGCAGGTGTGGTCACTACAAAGATGATGAGGAGACAACTTCCATGAGATAGATGTGACTTCGAAAAGTTACTACATGGTTATTAGAGAGTAGGAAAGCAAGAACTCTTCCTATTACACAACATCCCAAACATTTACAAATGTGCACACATAATACATAACACAAATATGCATTCTGATAGATATATATACACATATATATATGTATATGTATATCATAGTATACATCACACTGCAAACTTTTCAAGGGCAATGGCAAAGCAGGAGCTATTGTCCTTTCTCATCCTACTCCCCTTCTAAAGGCCAGTTGAAAGCTTATCCTAGGATTACTGGTAGCCTCATCTCAAGCCTTCTTCCAACTCCTTGTGATTCATTCCTCACCAATCATCAACTGACTGAGTGCCCGGCTGATCAGGCAGGGACATATCTGTGCCCCTGAAACCATTCCTGCTGATTGAATCAGGCCCAGGGAGGAAAGCTGTTCTGCCCCCTCCAGGCGTGCATAGAGCCTCAGACTCATCCAGTCTTGCATTCGGGCTCTGGGACTGATGCTTCGGTGTGGACCCCGGAAGAATTACAGCCACTCTGGGCCCTCCTCACACTCCTCTGCTCTACTGCTAGCCATCAACACAAATGCAATGTAAATAATTTGCCACTGTTGGGAGAAACAATTAATCTTTTCTTCCCACAATTGAACCTAGGGGCCTATTCATTAAAAATGAACACAGAGCATATGCCAGGAGCTCACCCAGAGGCTCAGACTAGTAGTACTTCTAAGTGGCAGGTGATGGAATCTGGGATAACTGTTCCTACTCTTGGCCTTGGCTTAGCCCTTTCATTCCTCAGACTCACCACTAGCCTCTGGGCAATGCCAGCACCTACTGAGTGGGCAGTTTGTGGACAGCCTCCAATCAGCAGAGGGGGATCAATCTTCTTACTACCTCAGTCTTGCCTCCCTTTACCTCTCTTACTGCTATAGTCAGGGAGCATCTATTACATATAGGGTGTTTTATATACACAATGCATTAATCTTCATAGCAACCCCACTGGGTAAGACTTTCAATATCATTTTGCTGGTGAGGATTTGAGGTTCAGAAGAGATTCAATGTCCTCATTTTGGAAAACAAAAATGTTGATATCCTTAAATTTTTCTTCCTTCTTTTCTACATGCCCTCAGGCCTATCTGGACTTTTGCATTGTCAGGGTTCAGCAATATTTTTATTTTGATGTATTAAAAACTAACTATGCTTTCTTCTTTTTAATTATCTATCTATCTATCTATCTATCTATCTATCTATCTATCATCTATCTATCTACCTACCTACCTACCTACCTACCTACCGGGTGTTGCTATACAGCTCGGGTTCGCAGTGATCCTCCTGTCTCAATCTCTCCAGGACTGGGATTACAGGCACGCGCCATCTATGCTTAATAGACCAAATCCTCAAAATTGATAAAAGTATATTACTTTCAGATTGTGGAAATTGTTCATGGCTGAGCCCAGAATTGTACAAGAATTATGTTTCGTTCTGAGTAGGTTTGATGGTCCTTTAGTACAGATTCCTTGCATCCAGAGCCATTGGATTCTTGAGTCTTTCACTCCACCATGTCTGAGTCACACTCCACCTAGGGTATATTATATGTGGAATAAGATATATATATATATATATATGTTTTCTAAACTTAATGTTGGCCTCTTTCTTAAGCACTTTAGCTTTTCTATTGTTCCATGTGACACTTATGTTGCATTTGTAAAATGGGGATGATCAGTTCTTGTATCTTCTGTGACAATTGCAAGAGTTTACGTAGGCAAATTTAGGCCCCTCTGTGCAGATCACGCATTCAGACACTAATGCTGCTGATCCCACTCCGTGTTTTGGGTACCTGAGGGGTTGCCTCCTGGCACCACCCATTTGACAGATATTCATGTAGCACCCAGATGTATAAAGATGCCGTGCTAAGCATTGAGGTAAAAGAGGGTTCAAGGCCCTTGAAAAAGAGCATTTGACAAAATTCAGTATTCATTTTTAATTAAAGCTGTCAGGAAATGAGCAGCATAAGGAGATTTACTCAAACTGATAAAGAACCTTTGCAAAAGCCTCATACTTAAAAGTAGAAAGTAAATGTTTTTCCCTGAAGAGCAAGGCTACTCTAAGGATGTCCACTCTCTCATTTCCTCACACTGTTCTGGGGGAGCTAATGCATGCAACAGAGCAAAAAAAAAAGTGTCAGGTCAGATCGAAAAAGGTAAAGTTGTCCTGTACTCACAGAGAGCACGATTACCAATTTTGAATGTATTATAGAACAAAAAACTGTGGCTAGAAATTACAAGAGCATCTAGGAAGGTTGTAGGATGGAAAATAAAGGTATAAATTCAGTGGTGTGTCTATTACTAGCAATGGACAACTAAGAAATTAAATTAAGTTAAATTAATGTTACATAGCATTAAAAACAATGGCATACTTAGTGATGATTTTCAGAAAAGCATGCAAGATCTATATAATGAAAAGTTCAAGACATTAGAAAGAATTTAAAGGCCTGAGAAGTCTTTTTTAAATATTTTATTTATTTTTTATGTATTTGGTACAGTTTTACAGGGTTGCACTACACAGATCAGATTCGTAGGGATCCTCCTATTTTCAACCTCCCAAGTGCTGGGATTACAGGTGCACACCACCACACTCAGTCTTAAAGGCCTGAGAATTCTTTAAGAAAAGATAAACTGTGCTTATGTTTGGTAGAGTCAATAGAGTTAAGATGTAAATTTTCCCCAAAATTGATTTACAGATTGAAGACAATCCCAGTCAAAATGCTAGTAGGATTTTTTGAAGTGGTAAGCCAACACAACATTTATATAAAAAATAGTAAAGGCCTGATACAGCATTAACTTTGGAAGACAAGAACAAAGTTGA